AACTTTGGGGGTTCCATTTAATTTATGTTGGCCAAGAATGGTGAGATATTTGACAACCATTTGAAATGACAGAAGTTGGTTATACTGGTAGGAACGAAGTTGTAAACTGTGTACCAGACTGCAATAGATTAATGTGTCCGTCCGTCCGTCCCTTTTCAATACTTTAACGAAGTGAAATCTCGTGCTGTTGGGTGTAAAATCAGCAATAGACAGCGCAGAGACTTGTCCTACCAGCCCACCTTGCAGGGACCTGTTACTGGTAGGAACCAAGTTGTAAACTGAGTGTACAAGCCTGCAATAGATTAATGTGTCCGTCCGTCCGTCCCCTTTCAATACTTTAACGAAGTGAAAAATTCCAATGTTCCTACCAGCCCACCCTGCAGGGACCTGTTTAAATAATTCACTCTTATTAGCTTTTCTAAATAAAACGTTGTTCACAAGGTTTAAATTAGTATTTTTTTAGCGGTACCAAATTCTGCTGTCGCCCTTGGACGATGTTGGGTAATTAGGGCTGCTTTAAAATAAGGTTTTGTTGGCAATCAGTACTTTATAGCCATAACCCTGAAATTATCGCTACTAGTTGAGCACAAGGCAGCCCAGTTCCACTCCTGCCAACAGGCAGTGGGATCATACAATTATATTGATTAGTGAATAATAAAAGCAATACACTGTACTAGTTTTTAAGGCCTTTAAAACAATTCCGGCATGATTTCAGAGCCCTGTAGTTTAAATTTTGAGAAAACAAGCTACTGGTACGTGGTGTTCCACAACATTAATTCAGGCTTGATAGTGAGCCGCGGGTCTATAACGGTTGGGAACCACCAGAATACAGAAAAATACAATGTGTAAAGCCTACAGAATAAATAACGTGCAATATTCTGTCACACAGAAAATGAATACGTAAGAATCAGGAAGGGGGTGACGAGGTGTTCGGTTATCTGGACAGCTCAATTTACATTCCCACCTCAAAACTACTGTACTCGAGATGTCTGCGAAATAACATTTACAAAGATCAGGTGGGAGACATGAGTCAAGAGTTGTATTTAGAAGAGCTGCGTTTGTTCCTTTGCACCACATTGTTCGGCTGTATGTGTGACTGGTGAGCTGTCTGTAGGTGATTTTTGGGCAATATATAAATGCCATTATTGAGCTGTGTGATTGTTGTGCTTTGTGTCATAGTTGGGTTGTATGTGTGATTGTAGGGGTGTATGTCTGTGTGAATATTGGGCTATGCCTGTGTGTCTGCTGGGCAGCGTGTGATTGTTTGGCTGTATGCCTGTGATTGTTCGGCTGTATGTCTGTGTGATTGTTGGGGAGGGGTAGTATAGTGGTTAACGCGCTGCGCTACGAACCCGGCGACCCGAGTTCGATTCCCGCTCACGGCCTCCCCTAGGTTGACTCAGCCTCAAATGAGTACTTGGTGCAGAGTGTAAACGTCACCACTGGGGAGACGAAGGCGATCTGGCGTGGTACTGGTCACCCACCCCGTTGTGTGCCGTGCCGACCTTCATAGGTGGTCGCTAACAGCACTTGCCCTAACAGGCTATATGGGGGTCCTTTGTATTTGTTGTTGGGCTGTGTGTTTATGTGTGCCTGTGTGGCTGTGTATGGTTGTATGTCTGTGTGCGATTGTATGCATGTGTGAGTGTATGGCTGTATGTCTTATTGTCTGTGTGATTGTATGTCTGTGTGGTTGTGTGTGTGTGTATGTATGTCTGTGTGTGAGTGTATGTCTGTGTGTGAGTGTATGTCTATGTGTGAGTATATGTCTGTGTATGTGAATGTCTGTATGTATATCTGTATGTCTGTGTATGTATGTTTGTGTGAGTGTATGTTTGTCTATGAGTGTTTGTATGTATGTATATGTGAGTGGCTGGCTGAGGTGCCATCTGTTGAGGAAGTACAAAAGGCGATCCAGAGTCTAAGACCAGGAAGGCACCGGGCAGAGATGATATCCCAAGCGATATGTTTCGGGAGGGTGGCGTTTGTGCACAGACTGCCCTACATGACATCATAACAACAGTCTGGACCACTGGACGGGTTCCGCAGGACTGGGAGGATGCCCTTGTGGTCCCCCTCTTTAAGAAGGGAGACCGCACAGACTACAGGGGCATCTCACTCCTCAGTGTGCCGTGAAAGGTCCTGGCAAGGATTATTCAACATCGCCTTGCCAGGCACGCTGAGTAGAGGCTTGCGGAGCCCCAATGCGGTTTCAGGAAAGGGCGGTCCTGCACAGATGCCATATTTTCTGTCCGTTTGCTACAGCAGAGGTGTAGGGAATTACAACAAGACATACATCTCTGCTTTATTGACCTGGTCAAGGCCTATAATAGTAGGCCTGGGCTCTGGGTTGTTCTTCATGCTTTTGGAGTCCCTGACCCTCTGCTCACGACCTTCATGATGGTGAGCGGGCCCGGGTAAAATTACGTGGCCGGGAGTCGGAGTCATTCCCTGTTCACCTTGGGGTGCGACAGTGATGTCCTCTGGCTCCCACATTATTTAACATCTTTTTGGACCACGTAGTCCATGAAGCCTTTGATAGCTGTAACAAAGGAATTTCCATCTGGTACAGATACAATGGGAGGCTGATCGATGCCCAGGTGCGGTCAAGGGATAGATCCCTATTGCTCAACCATGTTATGTATGCCGATGATCTGGTAATTGCCGCTCACTCAGAGGAGGAGTTGGAGGCGCTGCTGCTGAACCTGGAGTTTGCCACGAAGAGGTGGGGCCTTACCATCAGCCCCACTAAAACTAAGCACCTGCCTGGGTATTTTGTACCATCGGACACTCCACCCCCACAACTCCCAATCGGTGATGGGGCAGTTGTGGAGAGAGTGGAGAGTTTCCCATACCTGGGCAGTGTGCTCATGACCGGTTCCGGTTTGGCAGCAGAGGTCTCACTCCGAATCAGTCGAGCGGCAATATATTTTCATCGGTTGCGTAACGCTGTGTGGAAGCTACCTGGTCTGTCGCTCCGCACTAAGCTTCAGGTCTTCTCGGCCACGGTCATTCCCTCCCTTCTCTACGCTTGCAAAACGTGGACATCTTCGCCGGTTAGAAACATTTAGGCTGGCCTGCCTACGATCCATCCTGGGTTTAACCAGGCTGGATTGTGTGAGGAGCTCACAAATCCTTGAAAGATCTGGGCAGGGTCCCATCGGTGAGCTCCTCCGGCAGGCAAGGCTGCGATGGCTGGGTCATTTAGCCCGCATGCCCAGCCACTGCATGCCGAAACAGCTTTTGTTCGGCCGGATCGAGGGGGCTAAACGGGCGCGGCACGGGCTAGAGAAGAGATGGAGTTAGTTTAGTTAGTTAGTTCATTTATTTGGTATAGCCCTGTGAGCCATTCGGCTCTTGAATCGGGTGCAACCGCAACAAACAAAAAACATGAACAAGAAAACATCTTAAAGTGATTATGTGACTGTGCAAACAGAAAATACAGGAAAAAAATATCAAAATATTCCTGAAATAGCACTGTACACCAACGCTGTGTGCAAAAATCCCAGTGGGATGCAAGTCAAATAACAACAACAACCACAAGACAACTAAGATTAAGGCCATCAGTCTAACTCCGCACTACAATAAACAAAAACATGACCAAAACAAAAAAAACTTTTCGAAATCACCAAAATAAAAGCCATAAATCCAATGTAACAGTGATCATAGGGACTGTGACCGAATTTTTTACAATAAACTACATAAATAAATTATAACAACAAAATCTAGAGCCATATTTTAGGCCACTGAATAGCAGTGGCAGCTAGGGTTGTACAACTTCTCTAGAGCAGTTTTGAGTGAAGATCTCATGGTAGTGATTCAAGTTGCAGTTTATTGGCAATAGCATTCCAGACCCTGGGGGCATCAATAGCAAAGGCCCTTCCTCCAGTTTTTGTACGGCAATAGGGAATGTGAAGCTGGTAAATGAGCGAAGACCTGAGGTCAAATTTGTTCTTTGAAACAGAGAGATCCAGTAGGTAATCTATGCAAATCTTAAGGCCGATTGATATATGGAATCAAGCTTCTTCAGTACAGTACTTGGGGCTGATTTATACACGATGTCACAGTAGTCAAGTAGAGGCAGAATGCTAGCTTTGATCAATTCCAAACGGAACATTGGGGGGAAGCAGTGCTTGTGTCGATACAGAAAACCATTTTTTATTTTTGTCTTTTTACCAATATAATCAATGTGATCTTCAAAACTAAGTTTTGAATCCAGGATGATGTGGTACAGGAGAACGTGGAGCTGAGTGGACTTGCCGATGACCGGTACCAGCGGTGTCAAGATCGGCCTCTGTGGAGGAGGCTCGTGAAGGACGCTGCTACTGGGCAGTTGGAGGCAGTCGCCCTCCAACAACAACGGAGGGGGAGGAGCGACGCTCACAACAACCGGAACGCCGGGTGGCTAAAGCACAGCAGGTTGGCACAGTAGGGGGCACAGGTGGTGCATCAGCCACTCATCTCAGTCATCTCAGTCAGTCGACCCGTGGCACCTGGGTCTGCCCCGTGACCTCCTGCCAGCGGGCGTTCGACACTTCACGTGGCATCAAGGTGCACATGGCCTGGCACAAGCGTCGTGGCGACGTCACCGCCACTTAGTGGCGAATGGCGGTTGTTGTTGTTGTGTGTGCGTGTTTATTCTGTTTACGTCTCAATTCAAATGTTCGCGGTTGCCATGGCAGGGGCGTGACCAGGCGGCGGCACGTGACCCCACACGCGACGTGCTGATTGGTTGGCGCTGGGCCCGGCTCGCAGCGCCATTGGCTCCGCAAAATGGCGGCGTGGACCCCGCAACAGCGACCCCGACCACAGCGGCGCCGGTAGCCCCTACAGCAGCCCTATAGCCCCTACAGCAGCTCCTACAGCAGCCCCTACAGCAGCTACAGCAGTCTCTACAGCAGCCCCACAGCCCCTACAGCAGCCCCTACAGCAGCGCCCATAGCCCCTACAGCAGCCCCACATCAGCCCCATAGCCTCTACAGCAGCTACAGCAGCACCACAGCCCCTACAGCAAATACAGCAGCGCCCATAGCCCCTACAGCAGCCCCACAGCCCCTACAGCAGCCCCACAGCCCCTACAGCAGCTCCCAGAGACGCTGCAGCAGCTCTCACAGCCCTCATTGTCCATACAGCAGCCCACATAGTCCCTACAACAGTTCCCACAACAGTTCCCAAAGCTCCTACAGCAGCTCCCATAACCCATGCAGCAGCTCCATAGGTCATACAGTAGCTGCCATAGCCCATACAGTAGCTGCCATAGCCTCTGCAGGAGCTCCCACATCGTCTAAAGGCGCTCTCGTAGCCACGAAGCAGTGAGCATAGCCCCTATAGTCTCGACAGCAGCTCGCAAAGCAGAACCTGTAGCTTCTACAGCAGGTACCATAGCCCCTACAGCTTCTACAGCAGTTCCCATATCCCTATAGCTCCCATCAAAACCCCACAGCAGCCCCTACAACTTATATAGCAGCTCTCATAGCCCCCATATCAGCTTCCATCGTCCCTATTGCTTATTACAACAACTCCCGTAGCCTCTACAGCAGCTCTCATAGCCACAGCTACCAACGAAACCTCTACTGCAGCTCCCATAGCAGTGCCTACAGCAGCCACAGCTCCCAATAGCAGCCTCTATAGGGGATACCTCATAGCCCGTACATCAGCTCCCATAGCAGTTATTGCATCCACAGCAGTTCCTACAGCAGCCACAGCTCCCAATAGCAGCCTCTATAGGGGATACCTCATAGCCCGTACATCAGCTCCCATAGCAGTTATTGCATCCACAGCAGTTCCTACAGCAGCCACAGCTCCCAATAGCAGCCTCTATAGGGGATACCTCATAGCCTTTACATCAGCTCCCACAGCAGTTATTGCATCCATAGCAGTTCCTACAGCAGCCACAGCTCCCAATAGCAGCCTCTATAGGGGATACCTCATAGCTTTTACATAAGCTCCCACAGCAGTTATTGCATCCATAGCAGTTCCTACACCAGCCACAGCTCCCAATTGCAGCCTCTATAGGGGAGACCTCATAGCCCGTACATCAGCTCCCAACAGCAGCCATTGCATCCGTAGCGTCTCCCACAAGCGGCCTTAAGTGCCTGCAAAATCTCCCCAACAGCACTCCCTTTGGCAGTTCCGAAAACAGTTCCCGGAGCCCTCGTAGCTGCTGCTGCTGCCACAACCCCACAACTTACAGCCAGTCAAAGGCTCCTTCCACAGCTGCAGCAGCAGCAGCCCCAGCCCCTCCTTCCTACAGCCGCTCCCCTAAGAGCGCTCTCATAGCCCCCCGCAGCTCTCGGCAGCTTCCCCCACCCATGCCCGCCGTGGAGCTCGGCGCTTTGTGCTGCTGCTGCTGAACGTCTCTACCCCCCCACCCGACCACCACCACCAACACCTCGTCGTCGTCGTCGTCTCCCATCGTCTCTCTCACTCCTCGTCTCCGCTCGTCGCTCTTCGTCTGTCTCTACCCCCCCCCCCCTCGGCTCGGAGCGGCTCGGGCACAATGAGCTCGGGCCGCGGCGCGGGCAGGAGGACGAGGAGGGTGGCGAGGCCCCGGCCGGCGGTTGAGGTTAACGACGCCCCTGGTGAGTGGAGTCCAAGGCGCCCCCCCCCCCGCTCCCCCGGTTGAGTCGGGGTCCAGGCACTGGCCGAGTCGTTCGATGCTGGTGAGTCGAGTCGGGGTTCCCGATGGAGTCGAGGCAGCCCCTCGAGTCGAGCCCGGAGCCTTTTGCGCCGAGTCCAGGCCCCGGTGAGCAGGAGTCAGGCCCTGGTGAGTCGGGTCCGGCCCTGTGACTCGAGTCTGGCCCTGGTGAGTCGGGTCAGGCTCTGGTGAGTCGGGTCAGGCTCTGGTGAGTCTGGTTAGGCCCTGGTGAGTCGAGTCAGGCCCTGGTGAGTCAAGTCAGGCTAAGGTGAATCGAGTCAGGCTAAGGTGAGGTAAATCATTTGCTGGTGAGTCGGAGTCAGGCCCCGGTGAGCAGGAGTCAGGCCCTGGTGAGTCGAGTCAGGCTAAGGCGAGGTAAATCAGTTTCTGGCGAGTAGAGTTAGGCCCTGGTGAGTTAAATCAGTTGCTGGTGAGTCGCATCAGGCTCTCGGTGCGTCGCATCAGGCCCTGGTGAGTCGAGTCAGGCCCTGGTGAGTTAAATCAGGCTCTGGTGAGTAGAGTTAGGCCCTGGTGAGTTAAATCGTTTGATGGTGAGTTAAATCAGGCCCTGGTGAGTAGAGTTAGGCCCTGGTGAGTTAAATCAGGCCCTGGTGAGTCGAGTCAGGCTCTGGTGAGTTAAATCAGTTGCTGGTGAGTGGAGTCAGCGCTTTGTGAGTCGAGTCCTATCCTGGTGAGTCGAGTCAGGCCCTGGTGAGTGGAGTCAGGCTCTGGTGAGTAAGGTCCTGGTGAGTTAAATCAGTTGCTGGTGAGTCGAGTCGCCCTGGTGAGTCGAGTCAGGCTCTGGTGAGTGAGTAAGGTCCTGGTGAGTTAAATCAGTTGCTGGTGAGTCGAGTCAGGTCCTGGTGAGTTAAATCAGTTGCTGGTGAGTGGAGTCAGGTCCTGATGAGTCGAGTCAGGCTCTGGTGAGTAAGGTACTGGTGAGTTAAATCAGTTGCTGGTGAGTCGCCGCAGGCTCTTGTTGCATCGCATCAGGCTCTGGTGAGTGGAATCGGGCTATGGTGAGCCGATTCAGGCTCTGGTGAGTGAGTAAGGTCCTGGTGAGTTAAATCAGTTGCTGGTGAGTCAGAGTCAGGTCCTGGTGAGTTAAATCAGTTGCTGGTGAGTGGAGTCAGGTCCTGATGAGTCGAGTCAGGCTCTGGTGAGTAAGGTACTGGTGAGTTAAATCAGTTGCTGGTGAGTCGCCGCAGGCTCTTGTTGCATCGCATCAGGCTCTGGTGAGTGGAATCGGGCTATGGTGAGCCGATTCAGGCTCTGATGAGTCGAGTAAGGCCCCAGTAAGTTAAATCAATTCCTGTTGAGTCGAGTCAGGTCCTGGTGAGTCGAGTCAGGCCCTGGTGAGTCGAGTCAGGCTAAGGTGAGCTAAATCAGTTGCTGGTGAGTCGAGTCAGGCCCTGGTGAGTCGAGTCAGGCTAAGGTGAGCTAAATCAGTTGCTGGTGAGTCGAGTCAGGCCCTGGTGAGTCGAGTCAGGCTAAGGTGAGCTAAATCAGTTGCTGGTGAGTCGAGTCAGGTCCTGGTGAGTGGAGTCAGGCACTGGTGAGTCGAGTCAGGTCCTGGTGAGTAGAGTCGGAGTCAGATGATTTGTGTAAGACCCTGGTGAGTCGAGTCAGGCCCTAGCGAGTCGAGTCAGGCTCTCGTGAGGCGAGTCAAGCTCTGGTGATCCGGGTCAGGTCCTGGTGAGTAGAGTCGGGGTCAGATGATTTGTGTAATATCCTGGTGAGTCGAGTCAGGCCCTAGTGAGTCCAGTCAGGTCCTGGTGAGTCGCATCAAACTCTGGTGAGTCGGGTCAGGGTCTGATTAATCAAATCAGGCTTTGGTGAGTCGAGTCAGGCACTGGTGAGTCGAATCAAGCTCTGATGAGTCGAGTCAGGCCCTGGTGAGTCGAGTCAGGTCTTGGTGAATCAAATCAGGCTCTGGTGCTTTGATATGGAGACTGGTGAGTCGAGCTCGGGTCTAGTGATTGTATTTGGGCTGTTGGCGAGTCAACTTAGTGTGTGGTTAATCAAGTCGGTCCCGTATTCATCTCTCAATGGATGTCCTGGTCAAACAGATCCATCCACGAGCTGCTTCACACAGCCTATACCAACCATTCAGCGCCACACATAGTCGTGTTTCGGTCTTTTTAAGGTGACAGCTGAATGTACATCCTGGCACATTGCAAGGGAAAATTCAATGCAGGTATATGTCTAAAACGTCTGAATTTGCATCTTTAATGTGCTTTAAAACCTGGACGATGAGCTTTTAGTTTACCCTGCATTATGTTGAACTATTTAATGAAACCAGTTTTAGTAACATTTGCTGTGTGTTATGCTCCATACTTTCTGAACTCGAGGTTTCAGCCCACACCTACCAAAATTGTCGTCTGAATGCCCCATCTCATGTAGAATCAATCACTTATGTTCGACCAGGCTTTCAAACAAATGAGTTTTCTTTTTATTACAATATGTATGTGCTGAGATAAATTTAAAGCATTAGCAAATCAGTTGATTATGCAGACAGATAAAGGTGTTTAAGATTCGTTTTCCCCTCTTTGCAGCGGAAGTGGCCCCAGCCCCAATGCCACTACCAGTGGGTGATGAATCTGGAGCTGCTGGAGGGCAGAGCAACAGTCCTTACCAGCTGAGGCGGAAATCTCAGACCCCCAAGCGACCACTTTCACAGACTCGAGGCGAGGTCGAGGTACCAAGCCGTCTGTACACCGCTACATCCACACTGCTATGAATTCACACCACTTTACATGACCATGCACGGCGCGCTATACTTTTCAAATTCTTAGTCTTACACTTTACACGTGTGCGCCCTCGCATGAATCTTGATGCTCGTTTAATATGGGAGAGGTGTGGGCCTGATGTGTAGCTGGTGGGTGGATAAGAAGTTTGATACCAATTATGAAGCACTAAGCCAGTACCTTTTGAGAATCCTTTTCCAGAGCTTGGGATTGTCTCACCCGAATACCAATTTGGCTGTGTTCTTGGTCTGCTTAATGAAGCACATTGCAGTCAGCATCACATTTATATCCCTGAGCCATTGGTATAAATTATACATTCCTGTGGTTGGGGTGGTTCAATCCATAAAACATTTACTGTTTTCTTTGTGCCTAATGGTACTCACTATCGTCACCCTGGAGGGACATCAGTAGTCGGTGATTGCATCAAATCCCATTTGAAATTGTTATTTGGACTTCAGTAGATTGTGCAGATTGTTTATTTGCACAAGCTTTGAGGACACAAACTGCTTTTGGAACAAATTGAAACAATTACCTTCCCAACTCAAGGTAAGAAAATATAATAATCCTATTTCATTTGGTGTCAAAGTGTCAACACATTCGTCAATAACACTGCCTTAAAAGGAAAAGTATATAGTAAACGTTTCAGGCAATGGCCTTTCATCAAAGCACATCCATTCACTAAAGGTTGCTCTGCTCTAGGTTGGGGTTCTGATAGTGGTCTGGGTGTCTATTCACTAGCAGATACTGGTAGCTATCACACTGCGAAGCAATGAAAAGGTGAACATTTTTCTTGTCACTGTCTTCAGACATCTCCGACATCAAGTAGTGAGAACATGGGCCATCGCACGAAGCGCTTACGGTTGTCGGGCAAAACACAGGAACCTGCGCGTAAGTATGACTTCCGATGACATCTCAGTTCGAAAAGTAGATGTTAATGCTAATGGCATAATTGCTGAGGTTTTGAGTGAGAAGTGAGAAGTGTATCCTCTGGATCCCCAGCCCCAGCAGAACGCTACCTTCAGGAAAAGCTTCCAGACGAGGTGGTTCTGCAGGTGTTCTCGTACCTGCTGGAGCAGGATCTCTGCCGTGTTGCTTGCGTTTGCAAACGCTTCAGCACGCTCGCCAGTGACCCCATCCTTTGGTGAGTATCCATACCCCCTCATGTATTCCACCCGGTGATGAATCAGTTTATTTGAGCAAACAGAATGAGGCATAACCTTTCTTTGGTTGTTCTCTTGCAGGAAGCAATTGTACATAGATGTGTTTGAGTACACGTTACCCATGATGCACCCCGAGCCTGGAAAATTTTTCCAGATTCATCCGGACGACTATGACAATGCCAACCCCTGGAAGGAAAGCTTCCGGCAACTGGTTAGTGAATACTCACCCTGCCATGAGTACCCTTGTTACTTAGTTGCTTTTTATCGAGTAATCCAGGTAGTGGCTTATTTATCTTAAGTAGCTATTGCTACTTTTAAAACGATTTGTGAATATCATACAAAGTATGGGTTACATCTGTTGTATGAATATACTTAAAATTCATATGGGATATATTTATGATGATGTTGTGTTTGTCTCTGTGTGCCTTTTTGTATGCTTGCATGGCACTGCCTTAACAGTATAAAGGAGCTCATGTCAAGCCGGGCTTTGCTGAACATTTCTACAACAATGCTGCACGGTACAAGGGCCGGGAAAATATGCTGGTGAGTCTGTACTGCATCTGCATTTTAGTATCTTTGGCATTGGGAGGTCATGGCATAACAAATTGCGTATCTACCTAAATATAGTAGAATCGGTGTTTAGATGCTGAAAGAATGTTAAGTCTTCGTTGTTGAATAGGGCCACTCAGAGGAATTACACGTGCACAATCTGTGTTTCCGAGATGCTTCTGAATGATTACCCCTTTTGGCTTGTAACTTAGTGATGAGTTGTCAGATAAGTTTCTGACCACTTTACACTCTCGTAATTTCCAGAATATAATGCATATATCACACCGTACTGTAATCTAAAATTATCTCCCTTGTCAACAACATTTCAACCAAGAAGCATGTGATTAGACCTCGCATGCCATATAGTCTCCCTCTCCCATGCTCACTAAGCTTTGCTTGTTTGCCATGAGTATACAGCGATTAACCACCGTTGTATGGGATTGTGCCTGTGCATCGTGTTCTGTTGGCAGCCTTTCCACTTTTGTGTTTGTGTGTCTGCGCATGCAGTACTATGACACGATTGAGGATGCACTGGGAGGCGTACAGGAGGGCCACTTTGATGGCCTCGTGTTGGTGCACTCGGGACTTTACACTGATGAGTGGATCTATGTGGAGTCTCCCATCACGCTGCTCGGAGCCGGTCCGCACCATCCACCCAGTTGCAACTATTATACAAACACATGCATGGTTGTGTATATAATATATCCGTTTCTTTATTTGCAAATATCATGTTGGGTTGGTTTTGCTAATTCTCATTCATTTGTTTTGGTTTACATGTCTCTTACAATGTGTGTGCCCAGCACCAGGCAAGGTGGCGGACAAAGTGATAATCGAGAACACGAGGGACTCCACATTTGTGTTTATGGAAGGCTCGGAAGATGCTTATGTTGGCTTTGTCACCATCAAGGTACACTATGCCAGACCCTTGTATAATGTGTGCTCTATAATGGGAACGGTCTCTGATGGAGATGAGACAATTTTACGTGCATGGTGTTTTCACAGTTTAACCCTGAGGACAAGTCTGGAAATCACCACAACGCTCACCACTGCTTGGAAATCACGGTTAACTGCTGTCCTGCCATTGAACACGCGCTCATCCGCAGCACTTGCACTGGTGCGTGAATGGCACCAGGAAAATATGCCGATGAGCAACTGTGCTGGGTTTCATATCATTGATAACATACAGTGAGGGGAAAAAAGTATTTGATCCCCTGCTGATTTTGTACGTTTTCCCACTGACAAAGAAATGATCAGTCTATTATTTTAATGGTAGGTTTAGTTGAACAGTGAGAGATGGAATAACAACAACAAAATCCAGAAAAACGCATGTCAAAATGTTATAAATTGATTTGCATTTTAATGAGGGAGATGAGTATTTGACCCCCTATCAATCAGAAAGATTTCTGGCTCCCAGGTGTCTTTTACACAGGTAATGCGCTGAGATTAGGAGCACACTCTTAAAGGGAGTGCTCCTAATCTCAGCGTGTTACCTGTATAAAAGACACATGTCCACAGAAGCAATCAATCAGATTCCAAACTCTCCACCATGGCCAAGACCAAAGAGCTCTCCAAGGATATCAGGGACATGAGTGTAGACCTACACAAGGCTGGAATGGGCTACAAGACCATTGCCAAGCAGCTTGGTGAGGTGACAACAGTTGGTGCGATTATTCGCAAATGGTAGAAACAACAGAACTGTCAATCTCCCTTGGCCTGGGGCTCCATGCAAGATCTCACCTCGTGGAGTTGCAATGATCATGAGAACTACATGGGAGCATCTTGTCAATGATCTCAAGGCAGCTGGGACCATAGTCACCAAGAAAACAATTGGTAACACACTACGCCGTGAAGGACTGAAATCCTGCAGCGCCCGCAAGGTCCCCCTGCTCAAGAAAGCACATATACATGCCCGTCTGAAGTTTGCCAATGAACATCTGAATGATTCAGAGGACAACTGGGTGAAAGTGTTGTGGTCAGATGAGACCAAAATGGAGCTCTTTGGCATCAACTCAACTCGCCGTGTTTGGAATAGGAGGAATGCTGCCTATGACCCCAAGAACACCATCCCCACCGTCAAACATGGAGGTTGAAACATTATGCTTTGGGGGTGTTTTTCTGCTAAGGGGACAGGACAACTTCACCCCATCAAAGGGACGATGGACGGGGCCATGTACCGTCAAATCTTGGGTGAGAACCTCCTTCCCTCAGCCAGGGCATTGAAAATGGGTCGTGGATGGGTATTCCAGCATGACAATGACCCAAAACACACGGCCAAGGCAACAAAGGAGTGGCTCAAGAAGAAGCACATTAAGGTCCTGGAGTGGCCTAGCCAGTCTCCAGATCTTAATGCCATAGAAAATATGTGGAGGGAGCTGAAGGTTCGAGTTGCCAAACGTCAGCCTCAAAACTTTAATGACTTGGAGAAGATCTGCAAAGAGGAGTGGAACAAAATCCCTCCTGAGATTTGTGCAAACCTGGTGGCCAACTACAAGAAACGTCTGACCTCTGTGATTGCCAACAAGGGTTTTGCCACCAAGTACCAAGTCATGTTTTGCAGAGGGATCAAATACTTATTTCCCTCATTAAAATGCAAACCAATTTATAACATTTTTGACATGCGTTTTTCTGGATTGATTTGTTATTCTGTCTCTCACTGTTCAAATAAACCTACCATTACAATTATAGACTGATCATTTCTTTGTCAGTGGGCAAACGTACAAAATCAGCAGGGGATCAAATACTTTTTTCCCTCACTGTATGTAGGGACGTGCATTTCATTAAAATAAAGATGTTATGGAGGTGATTTGTGAAATGCATTTAATATGAAACATCATAATTCGTATCATAGGACCTCCTTTGCCAGTACCAAAATATAATAGTCGTAGTGGGTATTGGTTGCAGTGGCAATAATGTGGTTTACATATGGCACTCAGGTCAGAGCTGGGCTCCAACTGGAACTTACACTCATAGCTGTTGTCATGTTTATGAGGTCATGAGCTCAGATTTGAATGAGTATCTGTGATGTCTGTTAACATTGGCAACTTGGGAGGCAAAGGCGGCTCAACATGGTCCTGACCCTACCACTCTCTCCAATTAGCACGGTTGGCAATGTCAGTTGCAAAAGAAGTTCATACATATATGTGCCATGTTGATTTAAACAATGTCAATTGTTTGAATGGTCTGTAATACTTGTTTTACATTCATGTTTGCAGTGGGCTCAGCAGTCTGTGTAAGTGGCCAGGGAGCATGCCCCTCCATTAAGCACTGCAATATCAGTGACTGTGAAAATGTGGGGCTCTACATAACCGACCATGCACAGGTGAATTATTTGGTTTCTTGTACGGACATTAATGTTACATATAGTCATGTCCATTTAGTTGAACAGCATCCCAGTATAACATCAACGAACAGATTGTGTACATGACAGTGGCAACCATAATCTAAGAAAAAATATACGCAAATGACATACATAGTATAATTAGGAGTCAGAGATTAGGGCGGCTTTAGCAATTATGCTGCAGAAGAATGGTAACCCATTAGTCTTTAAATGGTTGAGAGGAAGGAAAGACCATTACAGATTTAGGGCAACAAAGAACGAGTGGCCTCCCATTGTGTGGAAATTGAAAGGAGTTTAGAGTGATGATAGTATTCTTTCGGAGCCTCCAAGTGGGAATGATGGTGAGGGGTCATTAAGGTCAGAGATGCAAGTAGGAACAGAATTTTCAAAACAAGGTATTTTGTTTCGATTTAAAGCTTTCGTGACTGCAAGGATCCATCTTTGGTTCTTTCGGTAAAGTCACGTAGAATGAGAATAAAATAATAAATTGATAAAATAAAATGCTTTATCAATTTATTATTTTATTCTCATTCTACGTGACTTTACCGAAAGAACCAAAGAAGATGAAGGTATTTTGTATTCTTGGCTCTTTCGGTAAAGTCACGTAAATAGAAAAAAAAACAATAGAAAAAATAATAATATAAGCAGCTACATTTTGAGGCTTGCCCCTCTTTTCTTTCCGCCTGATAAGACCGCTTGTGTTGTGATCGAAACGTCATGGGTTTTTTGATATTTTTGTTTATTTTAATTTTATTTGTAAATGTATTTATAAAAATTTTTTATTTACGTGACTTTACCGAAAGAATCAAGAATATGAATTCCTGCAGTCACGAAAGTTTTAAGTACAAATTTAAGGTATTTTGTATTTGGTTAGAAGGAGAGTGAAAAGCCATGGAAATTCCAAGTCATAGTGTTTTTTTATTAATATAAATGTTTGAGATATAATCATTGGAGGAGAATGAATTTGTTTTACGTAATGAAGGCCTGCAATAGGGTTTGTAAAAATATTGGAATAAACAGGATATTTTGATGGTCAAAAATACATTTAAATGTGATGAGGGGAATTGAGCACATGTTTTCGTATAATACAAAGATTACATTTGCTATTAGGTTGGTGATGATAGACTGGTTGGTGTAATTTTCTTCCAGGGCACTTATGAGGACAATGAGATCTCAAACAATGCCCTCGCGGGCATCTGGGTCAAGAATCATGCCAACCCTATCATCCGCCGCAACCACATTCATCATGGCCGTGACGTCGGGGTCTTCACCTTCGACCATGGCATGGTTGGTGATTTCAATACACTTTCTTCTTTCCTTTGATCTTCTCATTACAATTTTTGTGAGCGTTGGGTTACAGGCTGGGCTGCACTGCAAGGTGTGCTTGGAATGACACTGGGCTTGAGCTGCTTGCTTGTTAGGCTGTGCATGTGCTTAATGGGAGCTTCTTATGCAGGGCTACTTTGACAGCTGCAACATCCACCGCAACCGGATAGCGGGCTTCGAAGTGAAGGCGTACGCCAATCCCACGGTGGTGCGCTGTGAGATTCACCACGGACAGACGGGCGGCATCTACGTGCACGAGAAGGGACGTGGACAGTTCATCGATAACAAGATATACAGCAACAACTTTGCCGGCGTTTGGGTCACCTCCAACAGTGACCCCACCATCCGGTACTTAGATGACAGCTTTACATGAATCACATTTGCTCAGCAGACTGCACTTTGATGTTTACAAAAGGGATACATTCACTGGTGGTGTTCACGCTAGCTAGATGTATGCCTTCGTGCCAGTTGGAGCTATTCGTGGGCGGCCACTCGTTTTTTGTTTCCCTAAATCTGTTTGTTGTAACATTCTGACCCGTCCCTACTGGACATCTCTGAAAAAGAGCTTTATAGCTCATCGGACTCCTCCAGTATTAATAAATAATACAAATATACATTTGGAGCGTAAAGTGTAGGAAATGTAAAAAAAAATATCACTTAAGAAAATATACAAATAAAACTAAACATTTTTTTATCTTACCAGATAAATCTCACTAAGTTATTAGCTTCTTTTTCAGAAGCGACATGGCCACAAATGGCTTGTGTGGAAGCCAAAATAATCTAAACACCCACTAATTCATTTAAATATTTAATGAATTGCTAGTTAATGTTCACTTTGAGTAATGTGTAATCCAGTCATGAGGTGCATTGTGGTTAAGTCCATGAAATTGTATTTTTCCAGAGGGAATGCCATCTTCAATGGAAACCAGGGGGGAGTGTATATCTTTGGAGAAGGAAGAGGCCTTATTGAAGCCAACGATATTTATGGTTTGTGAATTACAGATCTAGCTACAATCACTTATTTAATTTTGAAATGTATCGTAAGCTAATAAGGTTTGTTCGTATTGCACGGAAGTACAAGTTGTGTTTTTGACTGTAGGTAATGCACTCGCCGGCATCCAGATCCGAACAAACAGCGGCCCAATAGTACGCCACAACAAAATACATGACGGGCAGCATGGTGGCATCTACGTGGTAAGCTCCACAAACATGTTTCCGATGCTGCCGTGGCATTGTGATGTTTGTTGTAAAAAGTGAAATGAGGTTAAGAAAGCATCGCTAAACAAATCGTTGCCCATGTAATGGCGTATGGTGTGTGGTGTGTGTGTGTGTGTACGTGCGTGTGACAGCATGAGAAGGGACAAGGCGTCATTGAGGAGAATGAGGTCTACAGCAACACGCTGGCCGGGGTGTGGGTGACAACAGGGAGCACGCCTGTCCTGCGCCGTAACCGCATCCATTCTGGCAAGCAGGTGCGTAGCAACTTGGCTGCCATTCGGGGGAGGTCTTGAGAAAGGAGCTTGTGGGTGGTGTGTGCTGCTTGATTTTGGGCCTCTGTATGAAATGCATTTACTTGCAATTCTCTTAAACCTGTACAAATGTCTTAGCTCCCAATTCCCCCATAATGTAGTCATGTATGATATACCATATCAAAACAGTTGTCTGCTGTTCCCAGCGGCAGATGGTGCACATTGTGGTTAGTTGAGCTGTACGTGTTTTGCGTGAAGGTTGGAGTATACTTTTATGACAATGGACATGGAGTTCTAGAAGACAACGACATCTACAACCACATGTACTCTGGTGTGCAGATCAGGTAAATCGCACAGTCCATCTGTACCGCGTGTGGTGCAAGTCTTGAGCTGACTGATGTCTTTAATTAGGGTGTGATGTGTTTTGTCCTAAGATACCTAATTTGGATGTTACTGAATGTAACATTGTCACCCATATACCACAGAACTGGAAGTAACCCCAAGATTAGAAGAAACAAAATCTGGGGTGGACAGAATGGAGGCATTCTGGTGTACAACTCTGGTAGGTCATCCCTCACTGTTATTCTGATTCATTGAGTGAAACAACTCTTATTTTAAACAATATGCAAAATGATCATAAAATGAAATAAGGGATCTCTTACATATGTTTTCATTGCAAAGGAGATATGTGGACTAACACCTGCTATAAATGTTGTTTAATCCAGGGGATTTTTTAAAAATAGAACTTAAATAGCCCTGGGTGTTGTGTTTGCACAAATACAGAAGGTGTTTTCCCCTGCTGCTGTGTTGTACTCTCTGTCCTCGCTTAGGTCTGGGGGTTATAGAGGACAATGAGATTTTTGACAATGCAATGGCAGGCGTTTGGATTAAGACAGACAGCAACCCCACGCTCCGGCGAAATAAGATCCACGATGGCCGAGATGGAGGCATTTGTATCTTCAATGGTGGCCGAGGTGTGCCAGCTGCTGCAGATACCACGCATACACCTACCTACACATACACCGCAAATGCATCTACACACTAAAACCAACACACGTACACTCAAAAGAACACAAACACTACACCTACCCCATGTGTATGCACCTATCAACATGCACTTACCTATGTGCACGCATATATATTATACCTTCCCACACACCACACGCAGCTACCTATTGCAATATATATTTAGGTGTTTTCCCCATATTATTTCCAGTGTGCTATCCGTGTCATTTAATGGGACAACAAATATACTCGGAAATCTTGCAGAGCCGTCTTAACCGTGTGTCTGAATATGACTTACTCGATAGATTTTCACATGTAATCTGAAAAATCTTACAAGTGACCGTTTGATATTTACACATAAGTGCCACACTTTTCCCAAACACTGCTAGGAGTTACACCAATATTTTAATTCTCAGGGCTAAAGTCGATTCAATAGAGTGATACCACGTAATGGGTTTATTTGTAGTCATTGATGACCGGGCTGGGATAATTCATTTGCTACAAATGGGAATTGTTTAATTACATGCATCTACCCATATTTTAACTCAGGATCTCAATAGCACTGGCTGTGTGCCTACATCAGAGCCACCCAGCCTCCTCGGCACACACTGAAATGCTGTTAATCTTTCTTAACGTTTAACCTTAATTGTGAACAGTTGCATCCAGCCAATGATAGAAAATGCATCTGGAGATACTGAGTGATGTGCGTGATGTTGGCTGTTCAGGAATACTGGAAGAGAACGATATATTTCGAAATGCACAGGCAGGCGTGCTTGTCAGTACCAACAGCCATCCCACCCTCCGCAAAAACCGCATCTTTGATGGGTTTGCAGCAGGTAATGTTCCGTTTTCTATTGTTCTTATGTAAAGTGGATGAGGTCCAACTTTAACCAATACCTGTATGACATATCCTTTCACCACTGCTCCTGGGTAGGTCGCAGTCATCCTAAACAACACTGCAAAACGTGTATCACGTACCTTCACCCATTAAATTACATTCGCCCTAATCTACCTACTGCTGGATGAAGGCCTCAAGTCATTACCACCTCTGATTAGCACGGCTGGATATGAACAGTGTGAAAGAAGTTCAGCATGGATACATTGCCATCCCACAAAGTCCTCTATGCAACAATCCAACTCGGTCGTGCACATGGTGTCATCCCTCTTCTCGGTGAACTTCCTATGGGGTGTTATGCTTTGGCTGCCATTCAATCACCAGCCTTGACCATCAGCTATCATCCATCCTCAGAACATGTTTGTGCCGGATCCCACTTAAGTCAATATGGTGTCTCATTTGTGTTTGTTCTGTGATCCACATGTTCCCCTTTCTGTCTCGTAAGCATGCACCCCTCCATGATCTGTGCACTTTTGAGCTTTAAGGTTTTATTATTATTAATGTTTCTAACTTATAAGTTAACGTAGGTCATACGTACTGATTGAAAACCTTCTATAGATACATCTGCATGTTGATTTTCATATTCAGTTTTACAGAGACACTCCAACCTGCACTCCTATTTCATTGTTTTGATCACCATTCACCTTCAATAATTGCTCTAAGTATACATAATCTTGCATTTTGCAATTGGGTCCCTTAAGCAAATTTTTTGTCTTGTTTAGCAAAGAATCTGTTCATGACTGGTTTTACTCATGAATCTTGAGCACAACTTTCCAGACTTTTTTGTTAAGTTATTTAATCATATCTGGTAGCTCATTTCGACTTGTTGATATCGTGACTGTCATTAGCAAATCTGACATGTTAAGTGAAATACGCTTTGTACATCTCTCAGATTACAGCAGCTTGCCACCCATCTAGCTTGAGGGCTTTAACATTGTTTGAATATACGAACATGCAAATTATGCGAGTGACTAATTATTTTCCTTCAGATTATTTGCATTTTGTTTCCTTAAGTTACTATTGGGATAATGAATATTCACGTGATTGTTATGTGTTTGTAGGAATTGAAATAACAAATCATGCTACAGCCACATTGGAAGGAAACCAGATTTTCAATAACAAGTTTGGTGGCCTCTTTCTGGCATCGGGTGTCATCGTGAACATGAAAGGTGAATTCTGTCGTGTGTCTGCACTTCTTCACGTCCTCAACACCTGTGCACAAACTGATAGGCTTGGTACCAAAGGATAATAATTGTAAATTGACCTGTAAAATACTTAGACATCATTTTATTGTACAGTTAATCTAATGTTTTGTAAATGAATAATGGCTATGTTCTTTGGGTATTTCGGTAAAGTCACGTAGATTGGTTCAAAGAAGATAACAAAAATAACTAAATATGGCGTTTCAATCGCAAGCGGTCGTCATTTTTGTTATTTTCTTTGAACCTATCTACGTGACTTTACAGAGACCCAAAGAATATGAAGTCCTGCAGTCACGAAAGCTTTAAGTCAAGATGTAATAATGGCTCTTGATGAATGAGTAATCTGATGCCCTTGGATGTGTGTGCTTTTGTCTTTTGATACTAAATAGATAACAAAATAGCCAACAACCAAGATGCCATTGAGAAAGCTGTAATTAGGGGGCAGTGTCTCTATAAGATCTCCAGCTACACAAGCTACCCCATGCACGACTTCTACCGGTGAGCCCTACCCCTTTCAACACTGCTGCGGCACCCCTATTCGTCATCTGTTTTGAGTTAAAGCACAGCTGCACATTCTGTATGTTGAACTTCTTTCACATTGTGCGTAGCCAACCGTGCTAATTGGAGGTGCGGAGTTAGGACAAACTAAACAGAAAAAGTAAATAAAAAATAGTTTTCTATTTAGATTTAAAAGTGCACAGCTCAATTGGCTTCCAAATATTGGAAGGAAGTGTATTCCAGATGGATGTAGAAGTGCATCTGAAAGCGTGCGATGCTCTGTAGCAGATCTCAGTTGATGCATATCTCAAGGGTGGTAAAATTTTCTAGATGGTCTTGCATTGTGGTAAAATGTTCAACAGAGGTCTTGCTGACCTTATGAACATTGATCAAGAAGAAATCCCACCACTAAACATTGTTCCTCTGCCAATGTTTTCTGCATATAATTCCCCTTTGAAGATAAATAATACTGGACATGTCAAGCATATGTTTTTAAACAAATATTAATTTTAAGACATTGCAAGTTTATTTTCACCATTGTCTCAGGGTCATCAATTTAGATGAACATTGCCATATAGCTTAAGAAGGTAGATCTTTCAGTTTGACTTTAATTAAATATTTATCTTAGTTATGTTGGTGGGCATCGTTTGTAGTTACATGAAAAGAAGAAAAAAATGACGTATTCCCCTGTCCTCTGCAGGTGCCACACATGTAATACAACGGAGAGAAATGCCATATGTGTGAACTGCATCAAGAAATGCCACCAGGGCCACGATGTGGAGTTCATTCGCCATGACCGGTAGTGCCTGCCATTGACTTGTGTTCTGCATCACTTGTTTGGTAGCATGAGTATCATTGCAATTCTATGGTTAGAGGGTGTATGAGATGAGCTACAGTTGCTTGTAAAGCAGTTGACTCGTTTTTCATCGTGTATTTTGTGTGCCTTTGGCAGGTTTTTTTGCGACTGTGGTGCAGGCACGTTGTCAAACCCATGCACCCTGGCAGGGGAGCCAACGCATGACACAGATACATTGTACGACTCTGCCCCTCCAATCGAGTCCAACACCCTGCAGCACAACTAGTCCATGCCCATTAACTGTGTGGGCTGGCTTGGAATCTTCCTTGGTGGGGCAGCCTTTGTCCAGCCTCCCTCTCCTGTTATAAACCTTGACTGCAACAGCTTGTGTATGCTTCCATCACTGGACAGAAAAAAAACGTTTTCCCTGAGCCCATCGGGAAGATTTGATGACTGTAAGGGAAGCTGTTTTGTTCAGCCTGTGAGGTGTCACCAGTACTTCGTAATAACTTGCGAGTAGAGACGAGGAGGATGGTGCCTGCAAGAAGTGTTGCTGCGCCCTGTTCGTCTTTGTGTTGTTGCTGTGAAGCAGTGTTCACCAAGATGCCTGCTGGAGCTGGATTCCTGTTCAACAGACTGTTGTCAACAAACAAGAAATGCCTAACACACATGAAAATGGAATTTATTGTGTGTACACCATGTGTGGACATTTTCAGCTTTGATTGCAGTTTTTTTTATGTGGTCCCATGACTCGAATTCGTCACCTGGACTCTCGTCAAAGCATTGACTGAGTGGAGGCATGTGCAGCCTCACTCCCCACTTGTGCATTTATATAGCATTTTTCGTTTGTAGTCATATGTAGTATATCAACTTGTACATTTTTAAGCATTTAAAAAAAACGCTTTTTAGACTTACTTTGATCTTACTGGGAATGACATTTTTACGTTGTGTTCTTTTTCAGCATTATTGTTCGATTGTGGCAAAAAAGTGGGTGGATTGAACAGGCTTGAGATGCGTTACAAATGGCAGGCTGGGCCCTGCATTCAGGTGGTCGCTATCATGAAAACTGCCACCTGCTTGCAGGGCAATGGGTACCTCATTGGCAACCACTCCAAACAGCACTTCTTACAGCTTTTCCGGAGCACTGTAGTGTACTTATAGTAACCGCTGCAGCATTGCAACAAGCTTTCAAATATTCAGTCTACCTAGAGCATACCGTTCTGAAATGCGCAGGCAGTTCTATAGACACTACAGCTCCAAAAGGTGCTGCCAGCGACAGCCATGTTGCCAGTAGTACGCACGTGTCTCTGTCGACCTGTTCAAGCTGCTGCCCCATTGGGAGTGTTTGCTCTTGTTGAGGCTATTTTGCCAGTTTTTATGCAACGTTTTTGAAATAGTTTCATGTCTCAGATGTACTAAAGTCAAGTATTTTTAAATGTATTTAATAGCATGCCTTTACATTTAAAATTCGTTGGTAAAATAAATGTGAAGGTGTAAGCAGTTGTGACACTTGCACGTATTACCCGAATCCATACCGTGCTATGCACTTCACCATTCCAAGTACCACCCATGATCCTTGCCACCACCAATATGCTCCCATCAGGTATTGCACCGGCCGTCATATCCCCCTACCATCTCCCCTATCCACACCACCACCAACAACAACATCGTCAACAACTGCCGTTCACTAAGTGGCAGTGACGTGACCACTGCGCTTTGTGCCATGCTAAGTTGCATTTTGAGGCCACGTGACGTGTCGATAGCCCGCTGGCAGATCACGGAATAGAACTAGGTGCCATGGGTTTACTGAGATGGTTGGCAGATGCACCAACTGTGCTCCCCGCTGTGCCAACTTGCGTTTTAGCCGCCCGTCGTTCCTTTGCCCACCGTTATTGCTGGTGGGGCGACTGATTCCAACTCCCCAGCAGCGTCCTCCAGGAAAACCTCCACAATATCCGATCTTGACACAGCTGGTGCCAGTCATCGGCGAGTCCAATCAACTCCACATCTCTTTATTTCTCGCCCGTGTGCCATGCCCGCTTAGCCCCCGGGGGCCGAACAGAAGCGGTGGCTTGGGCATCCCCGTTACCACCACGCCGATGTCCACCAGCCACGACAAAACCCCCACAGTGTTGCTTGCCCGTGATGGCGCGGCGATTCAACGGGCCACTGGTGGAAGCGACCACGTCGACCGGTTGGCTAAGAGGAGCTGGATCCGCACTTTCCTCCACGCTCAGCTCCAGCGTCCCTATACCAAACCCCCCGACTCCCACCAGCAGAGGCCGCCAGGACCCGCGCCACGAAAGGAGAAGAGGGAGCCGAGCGGGGGTGCAGGGGGAGCAAGCCCCGGCCTCGACACACAGTCAAAGCGGGAGGGATCCCAGAGGCCCGGCCCCCCCTCTCGGTCTCCGTGACCTCCTGCGACTCGGCGGCCGTCTGCGCGCCCACCTCCCTCTCCCCATTCGCGCTCTTCTTTTCCTGCTGCTCGCTTTGCAGCTGAGTTCCTATTGCCGTGCAAGACGAAGGCCTGGGTTGGTGTGTGTGTGTGGTGTGTGGGGGTGCCAGTGGGACCCGGAGAACGCCAACAACAACAACGACAACAGCAGCGGCGGCGGCGCTCGGGCGGTTGCGCGAGGGACGAGCCGCGAGGCCCTGGCGAGAAGGCCCCAGCGAGAGTGAAGGAGGAGGTGAGGATTAGGGGGAGGGGATGGTGAGGATTGGGGGGGCGGTGAGGATTGGGGGGGTGAGGATTGGGGGGGGGTGAGGATTGGGGGGGCGGTGACATTTGGGGGGGGGGTGGTGAGATTTGGGGGTGAGGATTGCGGGGTTATTTGGGGTGGAGGAAGGGAGAGGGAGGTGAGGATTGGAGGGGGGTGGTGAGGATTTGGGGTGGAGGCGTCAACAATGCAACAGCTGCAGCATCCGACCCTCGTGTGTGCATATATGTGTATGCGTGCGTGCATGCATGCACGTCGAACTTCTTTCGCACCGTACGTTGCCGATCGGAGGCGCGGAACCGTTCAACACGCGGGAGGCGGCTGCGCGCGCGTCCCGACCCCGTCGGGTCTCGGAAGCTCGGCCGGGGTTGGTAGCCTGGCATGGGGCTGGTATCGTACATCACAAATCGCGTGTTTCAACTATACGTGCGTGGGCTACAGCTTCAGCCACGTATAGTTGGGCAGCAGAGGGCAGCGAAACAAAGCCTCCTCACCCCCCCCCCCCATCGCACCCTGGCCTTGGAAGTATGGCCACGTGCGTCGGTTGGATTGACCCACAACAAGGGCTTCAACTTGGGACATATTTGTGGGTTTTATGTTTGTCGACGGTGGGATCTCGGTAAGCGTGGCGCGTCTGCGCAGACGTTGCATGTTGACTGGGATGCGATTGAGGATTCTTCATAGGCAAGAGACAGGGGATGGGAAAAGCTCACGGGCGACTCGGGATGTGTGGCTCTTTGGCCTCTCCCTTGCTTGCGGCTCTTTGGCTGCCCCCTTGCGGGAAAGCCGTTTGAAGAAAAATTAAAACGAAGCTTAAATCTTAAGCACAATTGAACGTGAAGATAATTGATCAGATATGGCAGGGAATGATGGGTCACTATGGAATGTCTTGATGCCGAAAAAACGTACGGTCAAAATATTGTTAAAGAATAAGTAACGGTGGGGAAAAAACAACTAAATAGACGCAATTTATTCCATCACCAGAATGTGTTTGTCATCTGCTGTTTACGAGCGATGTTTGTGTTCAAGTAGCTCTTCGTGTGAAGCACCTATTTAACTATGTTGGTCAAAGACAAATAACAAAATACTCTTCCTTGAAAGGTTACTGACCCCCGTGCTAGATGGTTTAAACAGCTTGGTTACCAAGGTAACTTACATGCTTAGCCTCTAAACAATAACAGCAGCATCAGCAGTATTATTGGGTAAAGTCACCTACGTGACTTTACCCAATAGAACCAAAGAGTATGGATCCTAGCAGTCACGAAAGCTTTAAATCTAGAATCAGCAGTATTGCTGTGAAGTTCTAAGTGATGTATCGGATCCAGTAGTGGGGAGTCACGAGAAGTGGAGTGTGAGATGTGGAGAGGTAAGCGGGGCACGTCTATGGAGGGTGGTGAGGGATAGAGGCATGGGTTGTGAAGGTTCGTGGTGAGGCAGGGAGCGTTAGCGTTGAGGGTTCGGAGATTAGAGTTAAGGGTGAGGGTGGTGAGCTAGGTGGTGAGTTCAGTGGTGAGTGGTAGGGCTGATGTGAATCAGGTGAGAGGTCATTGGTGGAGTCAACTTGTGTCAGGTAGCTTGGCATGGCAAGGCCTCAGCATGGGTAACACCGAGGCTCACGATGCATTCCTTATTTGAGTGTGTGTGTAGGTGGTGTCGCATAATTGTTATTGTCAACTGTCATCGACCAACGAGTTTGAAGCAATATAAAACAGTTTATAGCGAGTGCGTGGAAGGCGTTTAACCTTCGCGTCACATTTGATTGGATACAAAGAATGTGAGAGTGACTTATCAATCGCCCAGGGTGACGAGGAGGCGCCAAGCGAGGTGCCAGCACAGCGCGGCAGGGTGCCATGGCAAGCCGGTACGGAGAGTGGACAGTTTCCAGCAGTGATGACGAGGAGCGGAATGTGGAGTCAGCGGTGGCACCGGCGGCACCGGCGAGTGGCAGGCAGCCAGCTGAGTCCTGGTAATTCCCACCGGTGTTAACGCGCAGCTCACACACCCTCGTGCAGAGCGTGCACCGTCTTGAACTGCTCGGTGAAGTTTGGTTGCGTCAAACTGCTGTCACGTGCCGGTAGAGCATGCAATGAGCCTGTAAACGAATGTGTAACGCATGCTGCACGACTGACATCACTCGTGTACCAAATATTTGCTGTTGCACCATTTTACCATTTTCAGAGTGTGTTTGAACACTCACCTTCCAACTGCGTTTCAAAGCCTCGGAAACTCTCTGTCCATCTATTGTGAGTGGGGGGGGGTGACACTATAGCTCTCATTATGATGATCCAATATCAATGCAACTTTAATGTAAAGTTGTGTTGCTATATAACGACTTAACCTATCAAAAACCGGTTTAACTGACAAAGCAGATGCCCAAAACTTAGAAACAAGCCGTAATTATTTGCGCATATGCAAATGAATTTTGCTCTAACTTGCTAACCGTAAATGTCCATATTGCTAATGAGTTACTCCCGAAGACAAACGCGCATTGGAAAACATTTCGTTAAGCGTGCAAAAATTAGTATGGTGCATTGGGGTAAAATACCGTTCCTTTCACCTTCAGCTGATGTCGATGTGTTGACATGTGACTACGCAGCCAAGGTGAGACAGGAGCAGGAACGCAGGAGCCACAGTACGACTCGGATGCTACCTTGGTGGATGAAACAGAGAATGCTGCTAACCTAGAGGCTGAGATCGCATCCCTTGGTGAGAAGAGCTTAGGGAATCCGCTTCCCATCGCGCCCTCCCTGCCGGCCCTAGCAGGCAGCGCAGCCAACAAGCGCAAGAAGCCGTCGTGCGCCGACAACAGCTGGACGGTGTCGGATAGTGAAGACGAGAACGACTTGGCTGGCGAGGAGGCTCCCGTGTCCTCTCCCACGGAGGATAAGGGCATCGTCACCACTTCCCAGCACAAGAGGCAGCGACTGGGGTCGGATAGTGCCGGGATTCCTGTCGTCGAGAACTCTGTGTGCAGTGAGAAAACACCCCCTCGTGAGCCGGAGCTGCAGGAGCTGCTGGTGCCGCAGGAGCCGCAGGAGCCGCTGGCACCGCAGGACGTCATTGAGGCGCTGGAGCAGGCGGCTCCACTATATTTCTTTCTCACCAGAGTGGCTGGGATTGGGAAGAAGCTGAATAGTCATGCACTGCACATCACAGGTTGGTTCCCTGACCCTGCCCTCATTGAATGCAGCACAACACGTGCATTTCACTTGGGAAGCCTAGAGATAAAAAAAAAAACTAATTGTGTGTTTCCTTTGTGCAACAGACATTTTATCGCCACTTATGGGAACACTGAAGAAATCTGCACAGGTGAGTATTTAATCCTCTTCTCGGTTGTGAGTGTTATTGAGAATATAATGTCTCTTCCTGGACCAGAGTGTGCGTTGGCTGAAACAAGCAATACAGCACTGTTCATCTCCTCTGATGGCCTTATGATCGTGTTAAAAAATGCACATTCGCGTGGTGGGAGCCAGTCTCTCCATAGGATGCACCGCTGTTAATTTACCACAGAGTGTTACTCATGTTATCGAACCCAGAGGGACAACATATTTAGTTGACACCTGATGAGAATTTGAACTCGCAAACTTCGGATTGTGAGTGAAGTGGCCTACAAGAGTGTAATATGCGTGATATGTTTTGCAATGTCTGCTGTGTATAGCAAATGTAAAGATTTAAACAATAATCTGTGAATGTTGAATACCCATTTGTGTTGTGTGCAAGTTGCTGTTGTCTAAGGATAATTCTTCCAACATGTGTTTGTCACAGTTTAACTACTGCTTTGACATCCCGTGGCTTATGGAGCAGTACCCAGTGGAGTTCCGGTGAGTGGAGGGGACAGGAGCCTGGACCTCATGGTCTCTGCAGATAAATGGAGTAGTCTGATGTCTATGGAAGACCCTTCCGTGTCTTGGGAACTTGTGAACCATGTACTTGTGAATGCGGTGCTTCGCTTGCAGTATCTTTTGAGCTGTATTCATGTGCTGAAGGACGAGTGTCTGTGTCTACAATGCATGTCTGGATGACTGCGGCACACGTTTCCATGTGAGCAGGTCCCTGCCGCTGCTGCTGGTGCATGGCGAGCAGCGTGCAAGCAAAGCTAAGCTCTTCGAAGCTGCCAGTTTCTACCCGAATGTAACGCTGTGCCAAGTGAGTCTACCCCAGTGTTTCATATCATACACTGGATTATAAAGCATCTAAAAACAACTGAACCTCAAGATTCGGAATGTGTGCCATTAAGATAATTTGAAGAACATTTATTTATGTTTCCAAATTTTCAGAGGTAAAGGAGAAGAAAAATAGAAGGCACACAGGGCAGAGAGGAAAGTAAGATGACAGTCTGGTGAATGTGCAAATAAAGACACTTCATATAGAGATAAAGTCACAGGCAGAGGAAGACAGAAAAGTCTCGAGCCTGGACTGAAACAAGGGGATGAAATTGGTATTTTCCACAGACAAAGGGGGCAGCAGCAGAAAAGAAACAACCTCTCATCGCGAAGAGGTTGACTGGGTTTTTTGAAAGGGAGGCCTTTGTTGCTGGGAAGTGCAGAGTAAGACGAGAAGGGGGAGGTAGGGGTGAATTATTGTAGGACCTTGAGGATGTAAGGGTGATCTTGTAGTTCATGTGAATTGGTTGCAGCCATTGGAGGGATTGGAATATTGGCCTGATCTTGTCTTGCTCACGGATGTGGATGAGAAGTATGGCAGCGGCATGCTAGATCATTTGAACATTTTAGCTGAAGTTTTTGGGGAGGCCACAAATAAGAATTGTAGTTTTCAGTGTGATAAAGGTGATACAATGTTGATAAGGGCCTCCGCAGCAGTCGCAGCAGCAGATGGTAATGAGGAAGTGTGTTTCAAACCGTCACGCAACAGCAACAATGTGGTCTTCTCCCACCAATACAGTGGACAATATTCCAGTGCCAGGCAAACATTAATTCTATTTAACTGCATTGCATATATCCACACAAAAAATATGTTTTTGTCAGTCAGCCCATATGGCCTTACTTTAACCAATAGCATTAGAAAAGCAATCAAACTTGACTGGTATCAACCGTTTAGGTTGTATCAGCAGTCAGGCTTGCTAAATATATACTGTTGGTTTATCAGCTATCTTTGATAAAGGCACTTCTTCAAATAACAGGATCCTGTCAGCACAAAACTACATTGTACAAAACTCATTATGCACTCTGATGCTCATAACATCTGGTAGATTGGCAGTATTTGCTTCGAAAGTGTGACCGCTTTGGAGATAAAGATTGGAAGTTGTTTTATTTTTAATTATCACCAATGTTGATCTGTGAAGTCAGCACTTTTACCAGATATATTCACCACGTAAGCAGGCTTTACATTTCATTCCAAAAATATATATTTTAACCAACATGGTATCATCACCTCCGATTAGCATGGTTTCTGCACCTCCAATTAAAATGGTCGTCTATGTAGAGTGCAAAAGAAGTTCAACATAATAAAAAATATATATCAATAGTGACTTCACATAAATTAGCATTTGTTTTATAAATTCACATTTCTAAATGTCCACATGTATTCTGTGTCAGGAGACTTGTTGGACAGCTATTTGTACAGTATATACTTTGTAAGCTAGCTGTTTGGTTAAACAATTTATGTTCATCATTATCACATATTCTGGTTTTTTTTTAGGCAAAACTGGACATAATGTTTGGGACGCATCATACGTAAGTATCTAGAATGCATGCACAATTGAAAGCTGTGTGTGTGACGTGCAGTCCCGCATAAAGGCTATGCCAGGTTTAAAACCAGAAGTGTGATTAGGCCCTCTACTCAGTCCACTGGGAACGGTGTCCCATTGGACGGTGTTAGCCATGTGTGATACTTGTACTCTCGCTATTTGCGGATTCTGCCTTGGGGTCTTTGTTTCCACCTTTGTTCTTCCCCTACCACATGAGGGAGAGTATGTAACGCGACGTGCTCTTCTCCCTGTCCCTGTTGGCGTGCATTGCAGAAAGATGATGCTTCTGCTGTATGAAGAGGGTATGCGAGTGGTCATCCACACATCCAACCTCTTCTTTCAAGACTGGCATCAGAAAACCCAGGGGTGGGTGCTTGTCCACAGTTTCAGTATTCATTGTATGTGGGCATTTGTGTTGAGCTCATGCCAAACGCCTGTCCTGCTGTCTGCAGCATCTGGTTAAGCCCGATGCTTCCTCGGCTGTCGACTAGCGAAGAGCTGCCGGAGATGCAGGGCGAGTCTCCCACGGGCTTTAAGCAGGACCTCATTGCTTACCTTAAAGCCTACAGCTCTCACTCGGTCACCTGCTGGGCTGAGCATCTACAGCAACACGATCTCTCCGAGGTCAGGTCAGCGGCCACCTCTTTTATCATGCACCGGTGCGTTCTCATTGATGGCTTTTGTGACGGTGTCTTCTGATTGATGGCTGCGGTAGCATCTGATTGGGTGGCTGGTGTGAGCTGCTGTTGTTCCGATTGGTGGCTTTGCATGTGGTGGTTTGTTATAGTCGATCACTGCCGTGTGCCTGGATTGGTGGTTTCCGTGTGCAGGGTATACCTGGTTGGCTCAGTGCCAGGCCGCTTTTCAGGCGACAACAAGGAGAGCTGGGGTCACCTTCGGCTTCGCAAGGTAATGTACAACTGGAATAACGGGATGCACATCCATGCCGGCCAATGCAAACGCACGCATGAGTGTCCATTGGGCATATATAGGTGTATTAGAAGCAGATGTGTGTGCGTCTGGATTCTAATGCCAGGGGGGATGCATTTGTATGGTGTGTGTGGGTGGACTATGGGGGCAGGTGTGCGTATTGTATAGAGAGGTTTGTGTGTGTATGTGTGTAGGGAGGGTATAGGATTGTACTATAAGCGGACGTGTGTGCGTATACATTGCAGCTGCTGCGCGAGAACCTATCCCCTGTAGAGGAAGGAAATGAACAGTGGCCTCTCATTGGCCAGTTCTCCAGCATTGGATCCATGGGGATAGACAGCGACCGGTGGCTGCAGACCGAGTTTCAGGACAGCCTCGTGACGCTCGGCCAGAGTGGCTCACCAACCTACAGCTTCAATCGCACACCGCTAAAGCTGGTAAACCACGCACCGCTCAAGAGAATAGGAGCACTCCTGGGGGGGAATTATTTGTGAATTTGCAACAGACCCCACCTCTCATTATTATTATTTTGCTTGTTTTCTCAGCCCAGCTTAAATGAGTCTCGTGACTTTTTCAGTAGCGTCCTGCCAAGTTTTTCACAGTCAGGGCGATGATTCCTCTGTATTATTCTAATTGAGTTATTTGCTGGTATTTTTTTCTAAATTGACGTATTTGGACCGTGATGTCAGCACACAATGGCCTACTCTTGTGAATGTCTTGTGAACTATTTCGTGAAAATTGAGTGAGAACCTGCGATCTGATTATGTGCCCCTCCCTGTGCCGCCTCCCTGTGCCCCGTCCCTGTGCCATCCTCCCTGTGCCATCCTCCCTGCGCCATCCTCCCTGTGCCCCCCTTCCTGTGCCTCCCTTCCTGTGCCCCCCCTCCCTGTGCCTCCCTCCCTGTGCCCCCCTCCCTGTGCCTCCCTTCCTGTGCCCCCTCCCTATGCCTCCCTCCCCTTGCTTCTGTTATACTCAGATCTACCCTACTGTGGATAATGTGCGGATGAGCCTGGAGGGTTACCCGGGTATGACAGCCCTGTGCTGTAACGTCCTACCCTCCTAGTTCTGGCAAAGCGGTGCATTGTCTACATTCAGTATTAGCTGGAAAACTCTATGAAAATAAACATCGGGCTCTTTTTTTTGCAAATAACAATGGAATCGATACGAAATATATCCAATCTGGCTGGCTTAGTTATCTGTATAAATATACAGTGTACATTACTCATTGTGAGTGTTGTCTGTGAGTATTCTTAATGTGACTCTATTTGTGTGTTGGTGTGAGTGTGTGGGTCGATGTGTCTGCCGGATTGGATTGACTCTTAAGTGTGTTGCTCACTGATGTGTCTTTAGGTTGTACCGCGTGTTGTTTGGCATGATGCTTGACGTTTCGCTCCATGTGCTGGGAGCTTCTTCAGGAAGTGATTGTTTTTGCTGAACAAAACACTTTACCACTCAGAAACACATTGGGCACATCGGTGAGCTACATGGGGCAACAGCAAAATCCTACTACGCTATCTGCGTGTTGTTGTGCTTCCATTTGTCTGTTGATTTGAGTATATGTGTGTGTTGTTGTCTATATGAGTGCGAGTGTTGTCGTGTGTGTCTGTGAGTAATTCAACTCGCCACCTTTGCCTCCTCTCTGGATAACAGCGGGCGGATCCCTTCCCTACAGCGTCCAGACGGCAAGCAAGCAGCAGTGGCTACACTTGTACTTTCAGTAAGATAGCGCACCATCCTTCTGGATGCACGCCACTGTGTGCACACACTTTTGCTCATGTCCATGTGAGAGTTCACAGCATTGTCCTACTCTGTGCTTCAATAGATCGTGGCAGCTACGGCTGTGCTACTTTATTACCAGGCACACAGCGAGAAACATGTTACGAAATCTCTATTCTACCCTTCAGAGTTTAGGCTGTTGGATCACCCTCAGACACACTGGTCTCCTGACACCCATCATTATAGTACCCGACTCTTTGATGACACAGTAATATTTACATTAATCTGCTGTCGAGATTTGGAAGTACATTTAATTTGAGCCTTGGTATTTCCCTCCCTTTATCCTCCTGCAAACTCACAATGCACCCTTGGCGTCTACCCCTCCCCCTGCAAGCCGCTGGTTGTCTGAGACATGTGGCCGCACCCAGGCCATCCCCCACATCAAGACGTACCTGCGCATCTCACCAGACTACACCAAGCTCGCCTGGATACTGCTCACCAGGTAGAATGAAGCAGCCTCGAGCCCTCTTTGTGTTCTAGTTGAAATGCACAGTGCCTAGACAGGAACCCAACTGCACTGCAAGCAAAGCCTGGTTAACTGTCATAGTTTAGGTCCATCTGCAAGTGTCGGAATGTTGTAGGTGATAGAGAATACTGCTCAATGAGTTTATCAACTAGGTGCTCTTTATTTGTATGGGTGTGGTAGCTTTTATAGAAAATTTCTGACGATGCTATTAAGGCTTAACTCGAGATAAATTCTACGGCAATAGCTACTGGCCATGGTTGCCTTTCTGTTGTAACAATTTATTTATGCTAATATGATCGCTGTCTCCCATACTGGGAAACTGGGAAGGCATCTTCTGAACAGGTCACAAAGGTCATGTGAGTACCTAAGGTCTTTAAAACATTGTTCACCAAACATACATTTTACATTGGATAGACAGAACTCTTGTCACCCCATGCCATTGCCGTACCAAGTCGCCATAGTTGCTCACAGCAAATACATTACTGGCAGTGATCATTTTTGGCAGTGATTGCCCCATAGTCGTTAAGCACAGCAGCTGTTTCTTTGCCAGATCCTGCAAGTCGGTTAACTAGTGGTCAAGGTGCAGGTAACGTACTGCAACTTACTGTGACGGACATGTGATAAGGAGGCATGTGTGCCAAATGGTTCAGCTATTTTAAATATTAATTTGAAGAGTTGGGCAGTTGTTTTAGATACGTATATTTGTAAGATGTGTGTGTGTGCATGTTTGTTGTTTGTGTGCAAGTGCCAATCTGTCAAGGGCGGCGTGGGGGAGCTATGAAAAAAGGGGCAACCAGCTGATGGTGCGATCCTACGAGCTGGGCGTCCTCTATCTTCCCACTGCGTTTGTACGTCCCCTCTCCTGCATCACGCTCCAACACGGTGCGAGTGCTCCTGCACGGGCGCGTGCTCGTGTGTTGTTGTGTACTGTTCTGATGTGGTCTTGCCCGTTGTGTGTGCCTGTGTGTGCGGAAGTAGAACCCAGGTGCAAAATGGTTTCCCGTGGGACGAGGAACAGTCATGAAAGATGCTGAGGGGGTTGTTCCTTCCTTCCCGGTGCCCTTTGACCTGCCGCCAGTGCCGTATGACAGTAACGGTAGGACCATTTTTTGGGTGGTATGGGGCAGACTGCTTGGCGCAGTGCCCGAGTGCTGTCGGGATGGGGTTCTATTCAGGGGTTGGCTGCTGTTGCCATTCTTGTCCAAGTAGAGGTCCTCGTGCAAATGCTCTGAAGCTGACCTTTTGAAGCAGGCATTTAGACTCGCTCAGCTGTGTACCAAATTCACCTTTGTTGCTGGGAAACACAAGAAAAGCAGGCAGCTGACTGCTTGTTGTCTAAAGAGGTGTTTTAGAATGTCGTTCTTAAACCTGGAGGTTTATACACTCACACCAAAGTTCCCCACATCGAGTTGTACTGAGAGGTTTCTCGAAGTTAAGAGATAACATTTTAAATCAACTTTTAATGCCTCTCAATAACTTTGGACATTTTCCAAATTGTTAAGCAAATGAACAAGCCGTAGATATTACAAAAAAAATCCCCCATATTTTGTTTAGTCCAAGAGACATGTGAAGCTGAGCAGATTACGAGTCACGACCCTGCTGTTTGCCACGATGTACTACCACCCGTGTGTTGCTGTGTGCCGCAGTGTGCCGCTAAATGGCACCACATGTTGCGGTGTACCACCGTTCTTGTTTTCCTCTGCGCCATTGTGTGCTGCTGTGTGTAACTTTTGTGCTTCTTTGTTGCAGACAAACCATGGATCTGGAACATCCCTTATACGCATGCTCCAGACTCGCACGGCAACGCCTGGGTGCCTTCTTGAACCACGAACCGCTCCCCATATTTAGATGCAAACCCCCCCCCACGCCCCCGACTGACCCGCCAACCTGGCCCTATCAGCCACCTCACAGATTTTGCCAGTGCTGTACCTCTTTATATTTCATGGGTTAGTTGTCAGTGGGTACAGCCTCACGAGAAGTTAGCTCCCAGAGTCTGCCCACCCAGAATAAACAAACTAGCCAACTACCCACCGCGTATCTGGTTAGATTGCATAATTGGTAGTAGCCATGTTTAGAGTATGGTATTTCATGTGAAGCCAAGTGTGAATTTCATGTTTTTAAGTGTCGTGTGGATGGAAACACGTGTAACGAGGACCAATGGCAATGAGTTTTCTGGCCAGCTCCCATGTTGGAATCACAAGAAGAGTGCTGGCTGGCTTCTATACTGGGCCTACATCTTGCGTCTCATTCATGAACCGGAAGCTCCAGGCTAGTGTGAGAACTTGAATTGCAGTGTTCGTGACTGTGTTACGCCTTGTATTTGTAGCCTTTTGTACTCTCATATGTTCGTATATTTTTTATAACATTCTGTAGTGGACAAAAGTATTAATAAAGGCTGTGTGCAGTCTGCGGAACCCACAGCTGGTTCACCGTGAACATTTAAGAACTGTCTGTGATATTCACCCGAATAACAGCCTCGCTGAGTCTCACTGATATTTTTTGCACTCTGCACTGCGATTAGTGAGTGGTGAGGAACCACTATCTGTTGGGGTTGTGGAGACCTGAGACCAGTTATAGAAAACTTGAATCCTAATCCTTCAATGGAATTTTCCTTTGCAGATATGGCCAGTCCCAGGTGTCTTTTTTCAAGGGAGGCCTGGACTTAAGTACAGTACAACCTGGATTTCAGTGCAGTACATCAAAAGGTGTTCACTACGGGGGACGTCTTGCAAAAACAGGACCAAAGCCGCACTGTGCACAAAACTCTTTGGGACGAGTCGTGACGCGTGCTGCAAGATCTGACCATGCCCGTCCAGTAGTGGCTCGCCGAGCTGCATTGCATTCCGATTGCTCAACAATTACAATATACGGTCGCACTCATTACGCACAAAGTGCTTTCCACAAATAACCCGCGATACCTCGATCTCGTCAAGGAGCATAGACCATCACGCGAACTCGCACGGACATCCTCACAGCGGATTTTGGCTTAACCATTGAACAAAGACGGGCGCTTCATCGCGCGCTTTCAGATGCGCTTTCAGCGGCCGTCGGGAACGTTCTTCCTTCCGATATTAGGAAACCACCGGAGGTATGCACTTTAAAATCACCCAGATTGAAAACGAATTTCTCTTAGAACTACTTTTTGTGTTGAGTTGGCTACGTACGGTGCGCGACAGAAGTTCAACAACAGCCATAACGTACAACGTATAGGACCACAGAGCGTGGGCAAATGTTGGCTCCGGTGTTTTTTAAGACAAGATTTAAATGAATGACGTCATATACGAAGACGAGCTTTGGCAGCGCAAATTTGCGCGTTGAAGTCGGGTGAGCGTGATGACGTCATCCATGTGCTTTCTGCCCTGTCGGATGACGCCATCTAGTCGAAGCCGTTCCTTAAGGTAACGATGACGTCGGGCGGAAATGGGTTTCAAAATAAAATTAATACCAATTAAATGCCAATAAAACGCGAGTCGTTCTTCCGGAAGATTGTGACTTCCATTGGTTTAGTTTTTTTTATTTGGAGAAAGGCGACAATTTTTCCGTGAATGTCTTCGGCAAGAGAAGCATTTTTTGTCCAACAAAATAGAGAGCGTTACGGACGGACACGCGCATTCTATTTACAGAAACACAATTTAAAAACCGAGACGGGCTGAAGCCTGCGAAGTGAGAGGAGGTGGGACCCAAACAACCGCTGTCGAGAAGACCTTGCGTCATCCCCCACAATGCCGTCATCGCGTTACCAACTTCCGGTGAACGAACGCTCGTGACGCCATCGCGGCGTACGTGACGTCACTCGTCAGAGCCCTCTCCGCGTGACGTCATCTCCCCTACCCACCGTGTGCTTGGCAGAGCGAGTGGAGCGCCATGGTGAGTGGCTCGGGCCGGACCCCCATGGGCCGTGCCGTGGCTCGTGCTCCTCTGTCTCGTGATGTCGGGGGTTTGGGCTCACCTGGGTCGTGTTGTCGTCGGTTCTGCTCCGGTTTGCGCTGTGTGAGATGGCGCCCTGGCGCGAGTGTGCGCCTGCGAGCGAGCGAGGAGCCCGGCGCAAGGCCTCGCGCTTTCGCTGAATCACGGCCCCGGGCCCGAGGGGAGAGAGAGACGGCGATGTGTGGGGTTGTGTCCAGAGTGATGCGGGCCCAGTGTGGGGTTGTGTCCAGAGTGATGTGGGCCCAGTGTGGGTTGTGTCCAGAGTGATGCGGGCCCAGTGTGGGGTTGTGTCCAGAGTGATGTGGGCCCAGTGTGGGGTTGTGTCCAGAGTGATGCGGGCCCAGTGTGGGGTTGTGTCCAGAGTGATGCGGGCCCAGTGTGGGGTTGTGTCCAGAGTGACGTGGGCCCATTGTGGGTTGTGTCCAGAGTGATGCGGGCCCAGTGTGGGGTTGTGTCCAGAGTGATGCTGGTTTAGTGTGGGGTTGTGTCCAGAGTGATGCGGGCCCAGTGTGGGTTGTGTCCAGAGTGACGCGGGCCCAGTGTGGGGTTGTGTCTAGTTAATCGTGGCCTTGTGTATAGAGGGATGTGTAGGATTTTGGACGGAATAATGATGAGAACTTGTGGTTATTGTGCAGCTGTGGGCTTGTGTCTTGAATGATGTGCGGCCGGTGTTGGCTTGTGCTGAGTGTGATGCATATATAGTCTGATGTGTGTCTAGAGCGATGTGTTTTTGGCTTTTGTATTGAGTGTAGAGGTTGTGGTGGTGTGAGGCGGGCAGCGTCTCGGCACCGTCATGCGAGTTGTGCCTCTCTGCGTCTTTCTGTGCGCAGGGGCAGAGCCAGTCAGGAGCGCCCGGGTCCGGTGGTGGAAAGAAAGATGACAAGGTAATTGGTGCTTCGGAAACAAACTTGTGCCCTCACGCATTAGCAAGCGTGGTGTCATGCCCAGAGTGGGTGACGCTGAGGTAGTTAGTGTCAGTATTTTGGTGAACGTGTTATTACGGCGAGCATTTGTTGTGGTGGCTGAGTGTTGCGGTGAAGGTGCGGTGAGAGGATTGTTGTGGTGGAAGAAGACCCGTGCGTGACATGTGGTGATTTCGCCGATGCCACAGGAGAAAAAGAAGAAGTATGAGCCACCAGTGCCAACGCGCGTTGGCAAAAAGAAGAAGAAGGTGAAGGGGCCAGACGCTGCCAACAAACTTCCACAAGGTCTGCTTGGGTCATCACCATTTAATGAGCGTTCTTGTCCTGATGGGTCATGAGTTTAATCCTCTCATTGCAGCCAACAGAAGCAGTAATTGGCCTGCATCCCAGAGTGTGAAAGGATCGTGTAAGTATCAACGTGCCCTCGCGTGTATTTTTTGGTGCAGTAACTCCACACACCTACTGCCGCCTGAAGTTGCTGAAGCTGGAACGTATCAAGGATTACCTCCTCATGGAGGAGGAGTTCATCCGCAATCAGGAACGTCTCAAGCCCCAGGAGGAGAAGCAAGAGGTGCGGCATCTCCGGTCTCAGGACATCACTTGTGCAGCTCCCGCTTGTAAAATTAGTCAAAATTTTATCGTCACAGCTGTACAACTGTCTCACACTGCTTTATCGATGTTACCGTGACGCTTTAGATATCTTTCAGAAAACGTGTAACCTGTCTTTGTGTCATTTTGTTATTACGCATTTCGAGTGTGAGATGAGAAGTCGGATATTGCAATCCATTAGCTAACTTACTGGTATGTGCACTCTTAAGTTCAGTCGGTTTGTTTAACTCAATTATATTCCTGGTCACGGCTTGTGCTTAAGTGCTATAAGAACCGCTCATCAGGGCATCATCCAACAGTGGTTTGACAAAAGGACTGTCAAAACATAGTGAAGAGGCACTTCCAGCGACGGTGTTTTAATCACGTTTTCTGTTGTGAGTGCAGGAGGAGCGGTCAAAGGTGGACGACCTCCGTGGTTCACCCATGTCTGTTGGCACACTGGAGGAAATCATTGACGACAACCATGCCATCGTGTCGACTTCTGTGGGCTCTGAGCACTACGTCTCCATCCTTTCCTTTGTTGATAAGGACCTGCTGGAGCCTGGATGCTCTGTGCTGCTCAACCACAAGGTATGAGGCTGTTCTGCTTTCAGTGATGGGGTTATTTGGCTGTCCTTCCACACTGCGGGAGGGCAGATTGGGCATTGGCATGTTCATGAAGACATTTGTTTAATGCTGCTTTAGAAGGAAATTTGGATTGCATTTTTTTATTTTATGTATGGAAAGTACATGGTGTGATGTGATGTTTGTGTGGCTGTACAGGTGCACGCTGTAGTTGGCGTGCTGAGCGATGACACAGACCCACTGGTGACTGTCATGAAGCTGGAGAAGGCACCACAGGAGTCGTATGCTGACATCGGAGGGCTCGATGCACAGATTCAGGAGATTAAGGCATGTCACTTCTTGTAGATACAAACATGAAGGGATACGAGTACTTCAATATCCTGATTGTGAAGGGGCAATGGTTAACAAGTGGTGAATGAGTGTATATATCTCATGAGCAGTCGTCAGCAGGTTCTGTTATCAGGACTATTCAAAATAAAGCAATATTTAGCAATCTTATCACTGAGTGGTGTATACGACATGAGCGCGTTTGAGAATCCGTTGCCTTGAACTTTGTGCGGCAGGAGTCTGTGGAGTTGCCACTAACCCACCCGGAGTATTACGAAGAGATGGGCATCAAACCTCCCAAGGGAGTCATCCTGTATGGCGCGCCTGGCACAGGTCAGAGGTTCCATTACTGCATTGGTGCTGTGAAATGAGCATAATATGAAGTACACACACTTCTGGCATAATGGGCAGTGCATTGTATGCAGTGCTCTGCCATTGCATCTGCTAGTATTGGAGGAGTTGGTCGATTTGGTATATCGAGTGTGACAATTATTGTTCCTTGTGTGGGACTACAGGCAAGACACTGCTGGCAAAAGCGGTGGCCAACCAGACATCGGCGACATTCCTGCGCGTTGTGGGCTCTGAGCTCATACAGAAATACCTGGGCGATGGACCCAAGCTGGTCCGTGAGCTGTTCCGTGTGGCCGAAGAGCACGCACCCTCTATCGTCTTCATCGATGAGATCGACGCCATTGGCACCAAAAGGTGGCTGCTGTCCCACACAGACTCATGATGACTGAACCCAGCACAACTCGACTGCAGCCTCTCCTTCACTTCACCACCTACACCCGCGTGTGCTGGTGCATTCCTTCAGCAGCACTGCATGGCTCTGTACCAGAAAAGGGCTTTTAAGACAAATCTATAGTTTTCAGTAATTAGTAAACATTTTGTATAGGATGGGGATGATGTATTAACTGCTTGTAGAATTAAGCATTTTGTGAATAACAATTACTGAAAAACAAAAAAAGGTCCACAACACCATTTATTTTTATACAATTTCCCACAATTGCAGTATACTTTTCCATGGAATTATCTGTTTCAACTCAACCCATCTTGATTACCACCACCATCAACAATTATTAACATGATCCTTAACATCAACATTTTCATCAACATAAACAGTGAGGTCAGCTGATATTGAGATAGAGATGGGTTAAGGAGATATTGATAACATCCCAATTTAGCCTTTCATTAATATCATCACTCCTATCACCATTACTTCTGTCATGTTGCTATAATGACAGTTATCAGCACTACCATCATCACTATCACCATAATTTCCATCGGCACCACTACCAACGTACCAGGGTCACTAAATTGAGAGTACCCCTTTTTGGTATAGCCCCTTGGGAGTTTAAAATCTATTTTAATTGCTTTTCTGAAACATTTTATATATTGTGAAGTTGTTATCTGATAAGTACATCCTAAGTGGCTCAGTCCTTAAAATGTGTTAATATATGTTAATGAAATTAATGGGGGGGGGGGGGGGGGGTTCGTAGCATCGTGGTTATTGCACCGAGCTATGAAACGGATGACATGAATACATTTCCTGGCCGGGGCTGAATTCATTTGAGTAATATGAACTCGTCCTGGCCCCTCTCCCCCATCACTAATTGTCACTGACCGGCATGGATAGTTCATAAGTTAGGTGCAGTGGTTGGAGATGAGATGTTACATAATCGACACTTGCAGTACTTAAAACCACTAACTAGCTATTACAAACCTACACCTGCCTGTGTTGTAGAGCACATGAGCACTGTTGTCATGTAACCTTCGTTGTGTGCTCGTAATTTAGGTATGACTCCAACTCTGGCGGCGAGCGGGAAATCCAGCGCACCATGTTGGAGCTCCTCAACCAGCTTGACGGCTTCGACTCGCGCGGAGACGTCAAAGTCATCATGGCCACCAACCGCATAGAGACGCTCGACCCTGCACTCATTCGCCCAGGTGCTGTGTTCCTCAACCCCATCTCTCTTTATGAACACCCATGACACTCAAGACTTTTAACCAGTTTAATGCGTAAGAGGTTTGCTAATTGCGGAAAGAAAATAAGGTTAATTTGGCCTATGGGTCTTCCACATAGAACAAGTGATCAAGGTCAGTGTTGGTTGACCCAGTCACTGTGGTGCCACGGAAACAATTATTGATTTGCTCCCCATCCTTCTCAATCAATTAATTCACCCCTCATACTGCACATTCCACTTCTGTTTTCCCTCATCCATCAGCTCTTGTCAGCCTGTTATCACACATTGATTCTACCACTACACTTTGCATCTTCCACGTGCTTTTTGCAATGTTTCAAGCACAGGCACAGCCTTGTATTGCCATTAATGTTTACTTTTTGTTATTATATCTGTGTAGGCCGTATCGACCGTAAGATTGAGTTTCCTCTGCCGGATGAGAAGACAAAGCGCCGTATCTTCTCAATACACACGAGCCGAATGACCTTGGCAGATGACGTAACCTTGGAGGACCTCATCATGTCCAAAGATGACCTCTCTGGAGCAGACATCAAGGTGAGCCTTTAACCCGAAACACCCTTTGACAAAGTTTAGTATCTGAGGGTCTTGCCAATTTTCATCTTGATTTCCCCCCGAAATGTCTTAAACCATTTGTGCCCCTGTACACACAGACTGGCAATCCTTTACGCTCTCTCGTGCTCGCTTGCACGTGTGCGGAAGCACATCGTTATTTAAGTTCATGTGTGCCGGGTGTGCTGCTGGTGCGGTGCTAATGATGTTGAATTTTGTTTGCACAGGCCATTTGTACTGAGGCTGGACTCATGGCCCTGCGGGAGAGGCGTATGAAGGTGACCAATGAGGACTTCAAGAAGTCAAAGGAGAATGTGCTGTACCGCAAGCAGGAGGGGACCCCTGAGGGGCTGTATCTGTGATGTCGGCACACACATCTGGGCAGCACAGCACTCATCTGCCCAGCACAGCTGTCTGTTTTTTCTTCGTTCACTCATTTGGCAGAGGACATTCAAATATAACAATGTTTTGTAATGAATGGCAAGTAACTAAAAGTTTGAAATGTAATAGTCAAGTGTTCAACAAAATTTGAGGTGTGTTGTATGCAAGACTGTAAGAATAACAATTTAGCAGTGCATCCTAGCTTGATACATTACAATCCCCTATGTACCGTACATGCACATGCCAGTGTTTTGTGTTTTTTGTTCAGCGCTGGCTGACATTTCATTCAATGTCAATAAAGATGTAAAACTACACTGAATTCACAGTGCATTCATAGTCAATAGAGGAATGTCGGACACAATACTGCAGAACTTCACTATCATGGGGTTTTTAAAGAATGTATTCAGGTGATCAAAAGTAAAAAAAATATATATTTGGTGTGTGTGGGCTGGCCTCGAGGAAAATACCTTAAACATACTTTTGGAATAGCTGCCATCAGTGATGTATCTTTTAAGTAGGGTTAAACACGAATCTGGAAACCGGTTATTTT